ATTTTTTCAATTTTTGATAAGAAAAGAAAAGTTTCAGTTTTTCTTTTACTTTTCAATAATGTTACCAAAAAAAATTTTTTTTTATTTTTTATTAAAAAAATATCAATTTTTTATAAACAAATTAAGTTTTTTTTAATTTGGATATGATATTTTTTTAATTTTTTTTTTAAAACATACCTGGAAATACTAAAAAGATTTTGTAAAAAAATTTGGATTCAGCGACCCAAAAAACCCTCAAGTACCGAATTTTGAACGAATAGAATCAATTAAAATTTTTTTTCGCTATATCCGTCATTTAAAATTTCTAAAATCTCACATCAAATTTGGATTTAGCGACCCAAAAAACTCCCGAGTATCAAATTTTGAACTAATCGAATCAAATTAAAATTTTTTCGCCATATTTGGTCCGCCATTTTGAATTTTTAAAATTCGACATCAAATTTGGATTCAGCGACCCCAAAAACCCCCCCGAGTACTGAATTTTGAACGAATCAAATCAATTTTTCCGCCATATTGGGTCCGCCATTTTGAAATTTTAAAATCTGACCTCAAATTCGAATTCAGCGACCCCAAAAACCTTTAAGGCCAGGTCCAAGTCGAGTCAGCTGTTCCTTTGAAGTTTCAATGGAACAGCTGACACGACTTGGACCTGGCCTTAATATGATGATATAAAATTTTTTTGGAAACTTTTTTTTTTTTGACCGTTTTGGGCCCACAAACGATTTTTCTACTCGACTGCGAAGGGGTTAAATAAATAATTAATAATTATTTTAAAATTTTTACTTGTAATAATAGTTTAAATAGAAACTATTTAAATAATTTATTTGACTTAAATAAATTAATTTTCTGCACGGGATTAGGTAGAATATTTTGTTAAATAACAAATTAATTTTCTAATAAATTTTCACGTCGTTAACTTTATTGAAAATTTTGTAGTTATATGATAATGTAGATTACATATATATATTATCTCGTTATTTAATATGCATATTCATCGCATTTTGGGTGTAACAATACTTGTTAAATAATCGAAATATATAGGAAGGAAGAATATAAATTTCTTGGTAATAGATGAATTCTTATGATTAAATCAATTGTTAATGATAACAAGATTATAAAATAACAGCAGTTATATAATAAAATGAGGAAATTAATGAAATAATACCAATGGTTATGTATTTATGTAAAGATGAACGTAAAATCGCTATAGAAGCATTTTTGGCTCGAATTATTTTTTATAATAACCATATCACTTGAATGAATATTTGTTTGATCGTAACAAAATTGAATGAAATTCGATTAATGTATTTACATAATTTATTAGAATTCTAAAGAGTGTTATTCAAGAGTCTCAGTTTCAAACAAACAATACCACATGAGATGTTATGAGATATTATTGCTTAACTTTTGAAGAGTATTTTTCGATTTTTGCTGAAATGTTGTTTAGACATAAAAAGATAAACAATTATTTATTTCGAAATTTATTTTAAAAATTTAAATAAAAAAATTACCTAATTTAAATTTATTTATTAAAATATTAATAAAGAAAATTTAATTTTTTTTGTTTCATTCATAAATTTTAAATTTAATTATGTAATGCGTATATCATATACTGTATATCAAAAATTATTCCAAACAAAATGTTTTAGCACATATTTAAAGAGTTTAAAAATTTTCCACCGTCATACTGAATCAGACATTTTTTATTTTTGAAATTTGACAACAGATTCGTAATCAGCGACTCTAAAAACCCCCCGAGTGAATAGTTTCATGCAAAATAGTTTGATTTTTAAAAAATTTGGCCACCATATTGAATCCGCCATTTTAAATTTTTTACATCTGATCTGATTTTTTTTCATAATAATAACAACCATTTAATTAGACATGAAAAATTATAATAAGAACATGTAGATACGACTTAATTTTTTTAAAAGTTATATTATATTAATGTTATTAACAATTAAAAAGCAAATATACAATTTGTTTATAACTATGTAATTGTTTTTAAAAAATTTTTTTGTCATATTTTTAGTATGTCTCATACTAGAATAGTGTGAGTATAATATAGTTATTAGTTTTTTAATTATAGTGACATTTTGTTAATTTGTGTTTATAATACAATTTTGTTTATAAAACATATTTGTTTAATAGATTATAACAATTTAAAAAAAAGTGTTAATAACAATTTGTAAATTTGTTTATAACATTTAGTTTATTTGATTATAATAATTTTAAAAAACATTTTGTTAATAACAATTTGTTAATTCATTTAAAACATTTTAATTGTTTACAACAATTTATAAATTAGTTTAAATCATTTTGTTTTTTTACAAAAATTTTTTATTTTGTTTATAACGTTTTTTTTAAATTTCTTTATAACAATTTGCTAATTTGTTTATAAGATTTTATTTAATTGTTTACAGCATTGTTTATAAAAATTTGTTAATCTGTTTATAATATTTTGTTCATTAGTATGTAACATTATGTTTTATTGTTTATTGCACTTTATTAATTCGTTTATAATATTTTTTTAATAATTTTTTTAAAATTTTGTTTGATTGTTATAGCAATTTGTAAATTTATTTTTAACATTTTTTTTATAACAATTTATCAATTTGTTTATGACTATTAATTAATTTGTTTATAACAATATTCATTTGTTTCTAACAATTATTAATTTATTTATAACAATTTTTGTTTATTTGTTTATAAGATTTGTTTAATTATTTATAATTGTTAATAATTTTTAATTTTTAATTGTTACTTTGTTTATAACAATTTGTTAATATATTTATAACATTTTTTTAAATTGCTTATTGCGTTTTATTTATAAAATTTTATTTAATTGTTTATAGCATTTTATTTATAATAATTTTGTCAAATATAATTTTTAAAATAAATATAATCAAAATATAATTAATTAATTCCAATCGAAATCGAAATAAAATAATAATAATAATATTTATCTCAAAAATTACATGGATTTTCTTGTACATAAAATATGTATATATAGTAAATCATGAATTTGATGAATGAAAGGCAAACCAATGGTACAGTGGAATCATAAAGATGTGGGGGGTCAGAGGGGGGTGGTGGTGGTGGTTATAAAGTTGTGGAAGGAAGTATAAAAAGGGGGAAATGAAGAGGTAGGTGATGAAGGAGGATTGCTAAGAGATCCAAGAGGTGGGGGAGGGGGGTGATTCAAAGTTTAAACGAAAAGGTTAGGCCTGTCACGTGTTGCGGTTTTGTGCGGCGTCGGGCGTTGCGGGCTTGAAAATTGATGCACGCAGTGCGGATGCGAAGCCGCGAATAGATCCTTATATACCAAAAGAAGAAAAGAATGGCGGTGGGATCAAACCACCGGTGTATCATTTTTTTTTTTTTTTTTTTTTTTTTCATGTCGAGAAACTTGTCGCATTGTTATAAATATATATATATTAGTGTGTATAAATGACAGAAATTTCGTTGAAGATTTATTGCTTTTTCTTATATTCTTTTGATCAATATGAAATAATTTTTCATTTTTTGCAAAATTCACCAACATTGACAAATAATTATAATGGTGTATATTAAGCGAATATTTTATTTTGATCTTTCAAGTATTCAGTATTCAAAAAAAAAATATTTAAAAATTTTTCAGTTTTCTTTGAGGCGAAAAACGTTTTTTTTTTGCATTTTAAATTTATTTTACTCTCTAAATTTGAATTAGTGACAATTCGTTAAACTAATGTAATTAGTATAACAAAATTTTTACTAATTTTTAATAAAAAATACATTTTTGTTAAACAGATTAAATTTTTATTCAAACTAAATATAAAATGTATTTAGAAAAAAATTTACTTTAATTAAATAAACAAAAAGGTAATAAACAATTAAACAGATGTTATAAACAAATTAACAAATTGTTATAAACAGAATGTTGTAAATAAAATTTTATAAACAAATAAACGAATTGTTATAAACAAATTTACAATTTATTATAAAATTGTTATTAACAAATAAATTTATTTTAATTAAATAAACAAAATGTTATCAACAATTAAACAAATTTTATAAACAAATTAGTAAATTGTTATAAACAAATTAGCAAATTGTTATAAACAAATTGTTGTAAACAAAATTTTATAAACAAATTTAAAAAATGCTATAAACAATTAAACATAATGTTATAAACAAAATTAAAAAAGGTTTTAAATACAATTAAAAAAAAAAAATTGTTTTAATTAAATAAACAAAATGTTAATTTGATTTTTTCGTTGTTATTGAAAACAGTTTTTACAGTATGGTCATTTTTTTTGTTTACTATAGTATTATTGATGAAAGTATTAATTAAATACATTAATTAATTGTTATTTAGTTAACTTAATATTTATTTAAGCATTAAACAAAATTTAAGTAATGAATTTATCAAAATTAGAAAAATATCAATATTTTCAAATTCAAAACAAACACAATTCTTTGGAACTTCGATTTCAGGAAATTAAATAACAATAATAAATTTAATATAGTACATACATAATCATTCTAAGAATAACTTATTGTTCTTTAAATTCAAATAAATAATGTAACTTTTCAAATTTTAAAAAATATAATTTTAATTCTTTTCTTTTTAATATTTTACAAATGTAAATTAATATCCTAAAAGTATAAAATATAAATTTGTATAAATATATTATTATGAATATTATAAAGTATTATAGATTATTATTATTATTATCTATTATAAATTATGATTTATTATTATTATTTATCATAGTTATATATAATTATATAAAGTTTTAAAAGTTCATGAAAATTAAACTGTATATTTCTTTAATTAGTTGTTAAATTACATTGTTATTTAAAAAATATGAAAAAAATATTTTTCTAAAGTAAAAAAATTTTTTATAGGTACAAAATAAAAAAATAATTATAGGAAGAGATTTTTTGATAATTTGACCAAAAATAAATAAAAATCGTCAAATATTTATCGTTTTGGAATACAAGAAATTCAAGAGACATTGAAATAAATATAGTTTATTTACTGGAATAATAATTAAAATGTAGACATTAAATCATCAGACTTTCAAGTTCATCAAATATATATATAGAAATTAATTACATGAAATATTTTTCTACATTCTTGTTTATACGAAGTCACCATATACACATATATATATATATATAAATTAATTTTCTACAAACACAAAATTTGTAAGTATAATATTATAAAATTGCGAGTACGCAAAGAGCAAAAAAAACATTGTCAAAAAAAAAAGACAACACATTTTTAAAAATCATTAAATATACAAAAAAAATTTTTTTTCTTCACGGGACTTGAACTTGAAAAAATAAACGAAATACATTAATTTTATAACACACACCCAAACATGATAATCTATTATTTTTGTCTCTCACTTCACAATGATATTTATGTGAATGAAATGAAAAGCCATTTTCAAGTACAGCAACAATTGAAAATAAATTCATTTTTAAATCAGGCACATAGAGTACATTTATCATTTGTCTCTCTTCAAATTTTCCATCAATTTGCACTTGAAAATTAATTGAACCTGTTCCATAAATTTTTAACACTTTATTGTCAACATTAACAAATGGCGTTTCATTAAGTTGTTCAAAATGGGAAAAAAATTCTCTCCTCGATGTCATATGTTGTTTAATACCAGGATTTGTTATCCAAACATGACTCTCATCAAACATATTGTTTGCTATAATGTCACAGCATATGTCCAATGATGATGTTGGCTTTATGTCTGCAAAAAAAAAAAAAAAAATTTTCATTTTTATAATAGAAAAATGAATTTTTTTTTAAGTTTAATAGGAAAAATTTTTTTTTTTAAGTATAAAACAAAATTATTTAAAAATAGGATTAAAGAAAATATTTAAAAAAAAGTATTTAAAAAAAGTATTTAAAAAAAGTATTAAAAAAAATAATAAAAAAAGTATTAATAAAGTATTTTAAAAAATATTAAAAATTAAGTAGAGGTTACACTGAAGAAAAATTTATTTGAATCAAATAATCGGTTACTTGACTATTATCAAATAAATATTTACTTGAATAAAAAAATTTTTATTTGAATTAAATAAATTTTGTATTTGAACCAATAATTTCTGTATTTCAAATAAATATACCATTTAATTATTTCGGATAAAAATTATTTGGTTCAAGTAAATATTTATTTGATAATAATCAAGTAATCGATTATTTGAATTAAATAAATTTTTTTTTCAGTCACTTTTACTATAGTTTAAAAGTCAAATCTAAACTAACCGCAGTTTCTGGGCGTTACTGGAAATTTTTACTCTAGAAATAGTAAAATTTACTCCTGAAATAATAAAAATTATTCCGGATATAATAAATTTTACTATTTCTGAAGTAAAAATTACCAGAAATTGCGAACAGTTAGTAGAAAAATTAATAGTTAATAAAATAATAAAATATTGTATAAAAAAAATGTTACAAATTAAAAAAAAATTATTTGTTTCAAATAATCGTATACTTGAATATTATCAAATAAATATTTATTTATATTAAGTAATTATATTAATTGAGTCGATTAAATGGTATGTGTTTCAAGAAAAAAAATTATTATTTCAAATAAAATTTATTTTAATTATTAAAATTATTGGGTTCAAAGTAAATATTTATTTGATAACAATCAAGTAACCAAGTATTTGAATTACATAATTTTTTTTCCAGTATACTATAGTAACTTATAATAAAAAATAAGGAAAAAATTAATAATTAATCAAAGAAAAAAAATATTGTTTAAAAAATCCGATATTTGTGGGTTCTAGTGAAGTATAAAATAATTTAAAAAATAGTATTGAATCAAGAAAACTCATTTACTTGTCAGTAATTGATTCAATATTTTCTCCATCCGAGAAAATTTTAGTTAGAAGTAAATTTTCTTGAATTAAAAAAAATTAGTGCATCCATTACGGACATGTAAATGATTTTCTTGAATCAATAATACTTTTTTTTGTGATCATAAAATAATTAAAAAATTTTTTTTGAAAAAATTAATATTGATATAATATTTATAAAAAAATTTAAAAAAAAAATAAATATTGTTTAAAAAATAGTAAAAAAAATAATTTAGTAACAGAAAAAAAATATTTTTCAAACACTATTAAAAAAAAATGCGTACTTTTTACTTTTTCTATTTTATCTTCATTGTCTTCATTTAAAAATATTTCATTCCATATAATAGCCATTTTTTCCGAATAAATATCAATTTCCATTTCTTCTTTTTTATTTTCTTTAATACATGCTCCATTCCATATATTAGCGATTTTCTTCGAATAAATATTGTCCCCTTCTTTTTCATTATCTTCTTTTTCTTGTTGTGTTAAAAATTTTCCATTCGCTATATTAGTCAATTGATTTATAATATTTTGTCCATAAAGTGCTTCTAATCGTATCCAAATATCTTTTGGATCTTGATGATGTGCCAAAAATGGAAGCATTGAATCATCAACTGCATTAAGTAGTAACATTATTGTTTCGAATTTTTTTTTATTCCACAATTGCCATTCGCCTGGTGTTTTTGATTGTACAGGTTCAACGGCTGTTCCATCGATAAATTTTCTCAATCCCTTAGCTTCAATTACAAGTAAAACTCTAAATTTCCACATATCGTAATTTAAATTTCCAGTTAATTTTTTAATATTCACTTTTTCAATTTCCATTTTAATTTTTTTTTTTTTTTTTTTCAATTTTGCACAAAATATTTAATTTTAAATAAAATTTTCTTTTTCATAAAATGACAATAATAATTTTTGAAAATTTTCTGTAATTGAAGAAATATATTTTATTTACAATATATACACAAGTTAACTGTTCGGGTGCTTATTTTGTACTCAAATGTACGAAGAAGGTTTTGTTGTTACAGTCGTGTGTGGGATTCAAGGGCGGGGATAGTGATTTGCCAGGAGAACTTTGATATTATTGGTCCTTGTGATTTATATAATTTTGCCATATAACAAAATTATAAATAGAAAACTTAATGGTTGAGAACGTTTTTGAATTTCATTTACAAAGTATATACAATACTTTTCTGTTTGATATACAATATACAAGTGAAACAATATTTTTTCACTTATTATTTATTACTTTATAATATTTATTTAAAATTTTTATTTTTATTTTTATTTAAATGTATACCCAATAAAAAATTTCAGTATTATACCAGAGTTCACTATTGGCGCAGTACTGGTTCAGTATTGGCTGCCGAGACTGGGCAGTCTGTACTGAACCAGTACTGGTGCAGTACCACCCTCCCAGTATTGGCAAACCAGTACTGAGCCGATATTGCGCCAGTACTAGTTCAAATAGATTTTCTTTTTGATTAATATACTATATATTTTATTTTGCTTTTCTGTGGGTAAAATTATTTAAACAAAAATTTTCCTGAGACCAAGCCTAAAACCTTTTTGCAAGATTTTCTTATTGTTTTCAGATATGCAATAAACCAAAAAAAAAAATGTTAAACAATCAAACTAATAATAATTAAATTTGTTTATAAAAAATTTATATTTTTTTAAATAAAAATTTTAAAAAATTTTCTTGACAACACTTGTTATAAATCTAAAAACAACTTTTATTTTCTAAAAAAATTTTTCCAAAAATTCATTTTGATTCAAATATATATGTGATTAAAAATAGATATTATACTTTTGAAAAAAAATTAAATTTAAAAAAATTTTTACCCGAAAATTTATAAACCTACAAAAAATTACGTATACTTTTTTTTCTCAGAACTTTGGTTTTATAATAAACATATTTTTATATTTATTTTTTGATTTTTTAAAATAATAATTTGCAATATATATTATAATAAAGAATAAAAATTCTTAGTGTTTTCGATTTTATATAATAAAATATTAATTAGTTCTTCTTCTTTTATTTATGGCTTTTTCCCGCGTGAAAAACGAACTATGGGAAAAAGCTATCAAAAGCTGGCAAAAGATGGGAGAAGATTTTCGCCATTGTTTTTAAGTTTTATCCCATACTTTAAAGAATTGCAAAAAGCTCACAAACCATTGCTTATGAGCCTTTCCCATACTTTTTTTAAATATCATATAACATTGCTAAAATCTTGCCAAAGTATTGCAAAAATATGGGGATAAAATAAAGTCAATTTTTTCTAACTTACTTCTTATTTTTCTCATTTTTTTCTGAAAATCATTGCAAAACAATGGGAAAAAGATTAAGAAAGAAAATAGTTATTTTCGTATCAAGGGCGCAAAATAGGTGATTGTGGCGAAGGCGAGATTAGAGAAACCAAGGGGACCCGAAGCGCCCGAGGCGAAGCCGAGGGTGCGTAGGGTCGCCGAGGTTTCTTCATAATCTCGCCTGAGACACTATCACCTTTTGCGCCCGTGCTGCGAACAACATTTTTTGTCCTGTCTGCATGGAAAGTGTATTATTGAGTGCATGCAAGTCCGCTTGTTTCAATGTTCCATCAGGGTTGGGAAGATAATATACTTAAGGTAAATTACATGTAGTTGTTTACGTATACTATGTATGTTTATTATGTCACAAAAAATGAAAACAATACATTTTTTAATGGTGCGGGCGCGAATGTATTTTGCGCCCGCTTCTATGACGTCAGCGGGCGCGAATGTACTTTGCGCCCGCATCTATGACGTCAGCGGGCGCGAATGTACTTTGCGCCCGCTCACCCCATCTCTGGGCGGGAATCACTTACTTTGCGACCGCCTCAAGTGCACGAAATAACACACTTTCCGTGCAGGTAGGACAAAAAATTTATTTTTCTCATTTTTTCATCTTTAAAAATCAGATTTTTAAAGTATTGCTAAAACCTGGCAAAAATATACCAACAAAATTAATCAATTTTTCTCGTTATTTTAGCTTTAAAAATCTGATTTTTAAAGTATTGCAAAAATATGGGAAAAAGATTTTGAAAGGAAAAATCAATTTTCCTCTATTTTTTAACTTTAAAAATTTGATTTTTAAAGTATTGCAAAAATATGGGAAAAAGATTGGAAAGAAAAAATCAATTTTCCTCTAATTTACAATTTTAAAAATTTGATTTTTAAAGTATTTTCCTCTATTTTTCAATTTTAAAAATTTTATTTTTAAAGTATTGCAAAAATATGGGAAAAAGACTTTGAAAGGAAAAATCAATTTTCCTCTATTTTTCAACTTTAAAAATTAAATTTTTAAAGTATTGCAAAAATATGGGAAAAAGATTTTGAAAGGAAAAATAATTTTTCCTCTAATTTTCAACTTTAAAAATTTGAGTTTTAAAGTATTGCAAAAATATGGGAAAATTGATTTTTCCTTTCAAAATCTTTTTCCCATATTTTTGCAATACTTTAAAAATTTAATTTTTAAAGTTGAAAAATAGAGGAAAATTGATTTTTCCTTTCAAAATCTTTTTCCCATATTTTTGCAATACTTTAAAAATCCAATTTTTAAAGTTGAAAAATAGAGGAAAATTGATTTTTTCTTTCAAAATCTTTTTCCCATATTTTTGCAATACTTTAAAAATTTAATTTTTAAAGATGAAAAATAGAGGAAAATTGATTTTTCCTTTCAAAATCTTTTTCCCATATTTTTGCAATACTTTAAAACTTAAATTTTTAAAATTGAAAAATAGAGGAAAATACTTTAAAAATCAAATTTTTAAAATTGTAAATTAGAGGAAAATTGATTTTTTCTTTCCAATCTTTTTCCCATATTTTTGCAATACTTTAAAAATCAAATTTTTAAAGTTGAAAATTAGAGGAAATTTATTTTTTTTTTCAAAACCTTTTTCCCATATTTTTGCAATACTTTAAAAATCAAAATTTTAAAGCTGAAAAATCGAGAAAGATTGGTTTTTTCTTTCCAATCTTTTTCCAATGATTTCGCAATACTTTAAAAAACAAAGTTTTAAAGTTTAAAAAATAAGGAAAATTGATTTTTTCTTTCCAATCTTTTTCCCATATTTTTGCAATACTTTGGCAAGATTTTAGCAATGTTATATGATATTAAAAAAAAGTATGGGAAAGGCTCATAAGCAATGGTTTGTGAGCTTTTTGCAATTCTTTGAAGTATGGGATAAAACTTAAAAACAATGGCGAAAATCTTCTCCCATCTTTTGCCAGCTTTTGATAGCTTTTTCGCATAGTTTGTTTTTCACGCGGGTTGCTATGCAATTGGCCAGATCTAGCATATTAATTAGTTAGTTGACTAATTTAATTAATATTTTATTTGTGTTGGGTTACTAAAAATTTAAGACACTTTTTCCTAAGTATACCAAAAAAGTATTACCTGGAGTAGAGATTTCACTATTGCAGTGAAACTTATGTCTGTTACAGTTAAAGCTTCACTGAGAAAAATAATAATGTAATGTTAACAAAATAATTTGGTGGAGCACTTTTAGTTAAGATTAGAAAAATTTAGTTGACATAACAGTAACGAAAGAAGCAATCAATCGAGAAATTTAGTTGGCTGTACCAAAAATTTCGTTCAAGCTTTTGCGTCTGTTAACTGAATAATTTGGTTCTCCAAACCAAACCGTCTGAATGCTCAATTGCGCATGCGCTGTTCTCGTAAATATGGCTTATTTCTCTGTTTACGGATGTCACACGTTAACCATGCTTCGCTCTTCGTGTCGTCCAGTTTTATTCAAGTGTTTTCGGGATTTTTATGTGTTTCAGAAATTCGGTAAAAAAGTGTGTGTAGTGATGCATATCGAACAGAGAGAATAAAGCTTGTTAAAAGAACGGAAGTTTTTCTCCAGCCTGTATACTTTATGAAAATAATTTACACTCACATTGTCACTAGGATTCTTAGTGTAGTGGTCAGCGTTCTTGATTTGCGTTGCGTAGTCTGAGGGTTCGATCCCCAGCAGTGTTAGGTTTTTCCGCAATAGAAATTAATTTAAGTAGACATAGGGTAATAAAAGAGGATAACAAAAGTGATAAAATTAAGTGAAAAATAAAAAATATAAGTGTGAGCCAAAAAATAATTTGGTTGAGAAAAGAAACAAAATTTTTTCATTTAACTAAATTTTTTGTTTGCTTAAAAACAATAAGTTAGTTGTGCAAAACAAAAAATTTGGTAGACCGAACAAAATGATTCAACGAAAAAATTTAGTAGCCCGAACCAAACGGATTAGTTGCACATATATCAAATAAAAAATTTGGTTTGGAGAACCAAACTTCAGTAGATGATACCAAACAGTTTTCTCAGTGTTTCTTTTCGTATACAGTAAATTACAAAAGTGCCAGTACCCAGCCAGTACAGAATAAGTAGTGGTTACCAGTACTGGTGCCAACACTGGTAGGCAACACTGGTAGCCAACACTGGTAGCCAATACTGGTAAAATGTTATCATCCCACAGTTACGCCAACTCTGGCGCCAATACTGGGTGCCAGTACTGCGCCAGTAGTAAATTTTTGATTGGGCAGTAACATTTGAAAAAATGTTTATCAACTCGGTAAAATGATTATCTTTAATTTATAATAATAATTATTAAATAAACGTTAATTTTAACAACTAAGTTTATTAATTTAATTAATTAATAATTTATTAATTATAATTTAACTCCTTGAAACTAACTCCCTTGGCATAAAATTAACTCGTAAAGCATTAACTCCCTTCGCTTCAACTCCAAAAGGGTGGGACTTTTATAGCATCCCCAATAGGTAGTTGAAATTCAACTTCTTTTTTTACACTGTAGTATCATTGTAGTAAAAAATTTATATAACATTTTCGATTATTTTGAACTTGTAAAAGTGAAAGAAGTCTTTTTGCAGTTTTAATAATTAATAATGTTTTTTTTTTCATTTCAGATTTATTAAAAGGGATAACCTCTACATAAAAATATAGAGGATATCCGCTTCTTGAACTTCTAGAATGT